TAATTAATCACTTTTAGCACTTTTTCAAAATAATTATAAAAACAAAGTCTAATAATAAAAAATTCATTTAAATTAAATTTTGTAAAAAAATTACTAAAGATATTTTAAACAACACTTTTAACACTTTTAAAATTAAAATTTTAATATTTTAAGTAATTTAATTTCTCATAAACTTTATTTTAAATTCTAATTTATTTAAATTTAATTTAAATAAATTAATAAAAATTATATATGTAAGAATATATTTATTAATTTACAAATTTATAAAACAAATTTTATGTCCATCATTATTAACATTTTAGAGTTCACACTTAACAAATTATAACAAAATTAAGCACAATTGTGAGGGAGAATACAATTATTGGCATCATTAACTCAAGGCAAATTGTGGGAGGAATCCTTACAAAAACAATCAAGATTAACTGGTTAAATACACAACATTTTATTGAAACTTTAAGAACTAAGCTGAAGCTGCTTGATGTGTGTTATCTGCCTTCCTGGGTTCAGACCCTTTGGGTAAGCACGAGCACAGTTCAAAGCAGCCCACCACTTCCTAGCCTTCCCCATTAGACAAATCCAATGGTTACACACAGATAAGCTTATTTTAGAATGCCTTCTCTAATCCTGCTATACAGTTTTTTTGCAGCAACATAATGTTCTTCACGGATACAAGACCACATAAAGCGCTCATAATCTTCCCTACTAAGTTTAAGCCGAGCATTTTCCATATATCTCAGGAGTTTCAGCACCATTGGTGCTCAAGTTTTCATCCTTCACAGGCCATCGGCGCATGAATTGTTGGCAAATACTAACTAGTATTCCCAAATTTCATTAGCATTATTCCTATGTCTCCCTTCACATACTTTTCTCTTAATTCAACAAAGAACTTCAAAGTTCCAATTCCATCTTCCATTCTTCGATAAGCCAAATAAGGCAGCAGAAAAGGACACTGGTGATGGTCTGAAGCCCTTCTCCTGAATTTCCTCAAGAACATTAAGGGCCTTTGTAGCTTCTTCTTGCTCTAAATAAATTGTCATCAAAACGTTGTAAGTAACAACATCGGGAATAATCCCCTCCTCGGCTATATCCTCCAAGATCTCCATTTGTCTAGAGTGTTTCACAGCACCCAATAAGCTGTTGTATATATAAAGGTTTGGGCCAATACCACCACCACCTTCCTTCTTTCTCTTGAGCCACTCAACAAGGGCCATTGCAGCATCCATGGACTTGTCCCTCCCAAAACCACTAATCATGTACCTGAAGGGGCAATTCATCCATATCTTTAAGAACCATTTCTAGGTCATCTCCAGTTTTAGCAAACCTTAAACTATAAGCCAATATCCGAACATCAACCCTTGTACTCTCCTCCAACTCAACTTCTCCCTCACTATTAATACCCACTTCCTCACATTTATCTTCATTGCCATTATCATCATTCTTTGAGTGTGATTCTTCTCTCTCAAGTTCATTCCCAATTTCTTGTTGCTCCAATGCCCAAGCCGATGCAACCAACCAACCCACCAGATGAACCTTTCTTTGGCTCACAAAAGAGGACAATTTTCAGTTTAGAGTACCAACAAGGGAACCCAGATCTCAAACTACAATTCAAGTTCCTACAACAGGTCCTATTCCTACTAAACCTTGAATAGCTTGAAAGTAATAAGAAACTATGACATCTACTCTCAACAAGATTCCATTTTTTTCTGCTTCCAAAGTTTTGTAGAGGCAAAAAATCATGAACAAAGCTCAAAATCCAAATGGGGTACTACAACGTGATGGCCAGATACTTAAAGCTTGCATTTTTACAAAAACAAAAACAAAAATAAGAAATACCCAGAGTTAACAATTCAATGAAAAAGCAAGGAAACATCGCCATTCAATTGCAAGGACAGCTGGAGAGGTGAGAAAGGCAAAAATCAGTGAGTAAACTGCGTCCTTCAGGCTTCCTGTGTGAGATAAATGGGCTGTGGTCCAAAAAGCCCAAGATTTGTTGCTAATTGGGCTATGTTTTGGTTTGGGTTTCATCTCGACTGGGAGATCATTCAAATCCCGCCCAAATTTACCCAAAGAAATAAAACCCATTCATACCATTATTGCTAGCAATCTTATTCATTGAAGTTTTTCTTTTCATTAACTATCAATAAAGTCACATATACAAGAAGACAATGGACCCACCAATGGGTTGTGTCAGGACTGAGAACTTCGAGTTCGAAAATCAGTCGTTAGTCCAAAAGACAAAAAAAAAAAAAAAAAACAATGAACCCTAATTTTATTTTACTATGATTAAAAACAAGAATGGAATCATATCAGTTTCTAATTTCTAAAGATTAATAAAGATTGGTACTTTGGTATAGCATGCAACTCCATAATTGAGCTTTTAAATCAATTCCAAGAGTATAAAATCTCTGGCTACATCTTTGGCTTGGGAATGCCAACAAGAAGCAAATCTCATGGGAGGTGTGAAAGTATCTATCTTGTGCTTGCATTTCGTTTAAATTTGTGGCATGCATGCCTTGCCTGCCTTCCTATTTTATATCTTCACATGTTTCTAGCTATGAGTAGCCCTTTTTTACTACTAAATAAACAAATATGATCAGAAGTCCCAAAAGCTTGGAGTTATCAACAATGTCTAGGAAGACCATATTATAGATTATTAATACAATTAAAACATCAAGTTCAATAAAACATGATAAACCATCAACTTTGAATTTTCTTTTATATAAAATTCTTCAATTTTTTCTATTAAGAGGAGGGGATTCATAATTTTGGGAGATCTTGGAGCTAGACGATTCATGCATGGCAAAAGGAGGACTATATGTCTTTCCAATAGAGGGCCCAATACACGTGCACTTTAGCCCTTCTGCTTGGTATGCTCGCACCTAACCCCCACTTATGTCAACTATTTTTCTCTTTCTTGCACCACGTGGGGTGTCATTGTCAACTATTTTCTTCATTTGAAATAAACTATATAATAGAAGAATGAAATTCAATCAATTTTATAAAAAATAAATAATTAATTGCATGAATTCAATTAAACTTTAATTAAACCTTTAATTTTGCAAGAAAATTATTTTTTAATACAAAGAAAGTTACAATATGTGAAAAGGAAAAAAAATTATAAATGCTGAAATTTAAAATTTAAACTTATTAAATATTATTTTTTTAAGAATAATTGTATAAATGAAGTGAATTAAAATTTGAAATTAAAAAACAATTTAGATTTTATGGTACCTTGATCAATTAATTTCTTCAAGTCTTTTATAAGTTTTTGAGTTTCATTTTAAAGTTTGCCACCCACCAAGAAAAACTTTTCAAGTTTTAAAGAATCTTGTGTCTAAAATGGGATGTTAGCCTAAGTTTAATTTAATGGTTATAAAATACAATTTTAATTAAATTAGAAACATTCATTGAGTTAAGACTTTTGAGAGAGAGGAGAGAACCTCCATCTCTCCCACATGGGTTTGTAGCATATAAAATAGCTAACCACCCAAAGACATCTCAAAAGACAAGACCAACCTAATAACCTAACCGAACTATAAATAACAAGTTAAAAAGTCAAGACAAAAATTTTTGCTTCTTTTCTTTTTTGCAACATATATTCCATCAGAGATTTGGGATCCCTATCCCTTTTATTTTAGGCCCTATTTTGTGAATCTGATAAGATAAACGAAGAACAAAAATGTGCATAATAATAATGTCAACTTTTCTTTCAAGTGAATGATGATTTAGCTAGGGTTCAAAATCATTTTGTGTTGCCCAGGGTAGACGTGAGTGTTTAAGGTTTAGGGTTTATATGCAAAATATATAGGTTTAAATTCTTACAATCTCTTGTTGGTAGGCTATTTGTAAATCTAAAAATTTTAAAAGATCCGTAAATCTCACTTATGAATTGACGACTTACCCTGACCTAAGATATGAGTAAACTCCCCTCCTCCTAAATTTTTACTCAAAAAAGAAAAAAACTGTCAAATAATACTGGCGTGAATGGGGGGATAATATCCTCCTTTCCTACAACATTGGTCTTCAAAATTGAAAAATTAATGGTAAAACTAGGCTACTATTTTGTTAAACATAATCAGAACGAAGATTGAAAAAGACGCAAAAGGGTTAATCTTAGCAATCTTCTCTTTCATTAATGTAATCATGAAAGTTGTTTCTTGTTGGAAAAACTAATGTTGGAAGATGCTTAAATATTGAACAGTTTATAGATAATTGTGTAAGTTACTTGTTGCCACTAATAGAAAAGAGTAAAATCAAAGAAAAATGAAATGAAAATCTTATAATAAGAGTTCTTTAGTTGTTGAACAACCCATATTTAATTAGGTAGAGTTTGTAGGTATAGAGAAAAGAGTAAATGAAATCCAAAATTTAATTTAGTTGATTTATGTAATAATATTAAAAGATAATATTTAATAAATTTTGAATTCAAATATCAACATATGCAATTTTTTTTTTTAACTATGGTTTATTTTGTACAAAATGACCGAAGGAACTAATTAATGACAAAAGAGGTTAATTGGCAAACAATTTTCGGATAGTTAATTAATTTCTTGAGTAAAATTTCCAATTCCAAGTACTAAACACAGTAGAGCATTTGCAAATATTGTGCACTTGAAAGAGAGGGTCTAGCTAGATAAGATGGAAGGTTTAATTTAGTACTGACTTTTTTGTTGCCCAAAATCATGCTTTAAGAACAAAAACTTAAATGAAATTATTTAGGAGAAATTTTTTAACTTTTTTTTTTTTATAAAAATAATATAATAAAAATTTCAAATTGATATGTTGGTCAAGTTTAATATGAAAATTAATAATATATAAAAATTATTAAAAATTTTATAAAAAATTGTTTATAATTCAATTTTGATTGGTATTTATTTAAAAGTAAAAATTTTGTCAAAATTATTATTAAAAATATTTACCTAAAAAATATATTCAAATTTATTCAAATGTTGTACATTTGATCTATGTAATAAGATCTTTCAATCTATGTTTTAATTTTTATATAGTTTTTAGTATGAAATTTCATAAACTTTAAATAAAAAAATTTATAAATCGTATTTATTTTGTTTTTGCCCGCCAATCAAGCTAGCAAGCAAGCGTGTTCCATTGCACCAACTCCCCATGTGCTTGAGCTCCCCATAAAATCAGCAGACGAAACCGACGCCCACATTATACTCCATGCAGCTTGGTTTTTTTATTCATTTCTTCTTTTGTCCTAGCCCACTCTATCTATTATTATATAACTATCTAAACCCCAACACTTTCTCTTCCCATTTGAGCTTCTTGAGCTTTGATATAAAGACAGAGAGAGATCAGCAAAAAAGAGCAGGAAAAAAGATGATCAAGTTGAAGTCAAAGAGGTTTTGCAGAGGCAGCTTTAAGTTTGGCAATGGTGGGAATGGCAATAGCAATGCGAAAGGTGGTGAAAAGGGATGTGGAAACAATAATAATATTAGTGAAATCAAATGGGAACTTAGGCCTGGTGGCATGCTTGTTCAAAAGAGAGAAACTGGAGGAAGTGTTGGAGAAGGGATGATCACTGTTAGAATCTCAACTGTTTCCCAATGGCATGATATTTCCATTGAAGCCACTTCCACTTTTGGTAAGCCTTCTAATTATTATTCTTCATGTTTGTCACCAAATGCTCAACTATATATTTTCATATCAGAAACTGACTTAAAGATGTAGGTGAAGTTTAGTTTAGTTGGTTAATGTGATCACCTTTAAAAGGCGACATCTAACAAGTTTGGGATTCAGTTTCTTATTTTATCCCGAGTTATGTAAAAAAAAAAAAAAAATTGACTTAAGAGATGTGTGTTTTGGCATTAATGCATGTTTCTATTCAATTGATTTAGTCTTTTTTTTGGGTTATTGATTGAAAATTTGTTTCAAATTTCTTCAGGGGAATTGAAGATGATTTTATCATTGGTAACAAGTTTGGAGCCAAGAGAGCAAAGGCTGTTATTCAAAGGGAAAGAAAGGGAAGATGATGAATATTTACACATGGTTGGTGTTAGAGACAAAGACAAAGTGCTTTTGCTAGAAGATCCAGCCATCAAGGAAATGAAGCTTCATAGATTGGCAGGAAGCCAGCAAATTGGCACTGCTTATCAAACCGTAAGTGTATCACACTGATTAAAATCAATCATATTGTACTCACTAACCACCAAAAAAGAAAGCTCTAAAAATATGGTGAAGTTTTTTTTTTTCTTTTTTTCTATATATATTTCACTTGATTAGAATTAGGGACTTGGCTGTATCAAAACTACATAATTTAATTTGAAAGCTGATGCATTCCTCATTTTAATGAAAATTTTTAATATTTTTTCTTACTCTCAACTATATATTAATCCATAAATGCATGCCGACAGAAAAAGTTTTCGGAACAATTAAAAAGTGAGAAAATTTTAAGGAATAAGAGCTGGCAAATGATGGGTTATTGTGTTTAGTTAGAATGCTTAAGCTAAAAGTGAGGTCCCTTATAGTTTCCAAATCATTCCCATGAATTATTAAAGGAAAAGATTTAATATTCAAAATCACTTACATTTGTTCATGTCAAAATCATTCCTAGGTTGTACATATGCATGCATAAGTGTCACGGATCGAGACTTAAGCTTCAAATTCGCGTGATTTTTTGGTATCCTAAAATTAGTTTAACTGTCACGGTTCACACCTTTATGAGGTATTTCTGATATCCTGGATTAGCTTAATTGATACGGTTCACACCTTTGTGAGGTATTATCCATTCTGACCCTCTAGCCTCACTATTTTATCCTACAAAAGGAGCCTCACAAGGAAAAGGTGGTGTGAACCCTTTTATATCCTAGTGACCCTCCTATTATATTTGATATGGGATTCAAGACTCTTCCTTAGATTCGTGATATTCTCTCCCACTCAATCTCGTGACGCCCTCGTTACGTCACAGAGGTTGGCTACCCTACCTATCTCCTTCGAGGTGCTTGGCGTGGTTCGAATAGTTTAGGGCTGGCTCTGATACTAGTTATCAAGGCCGCGTGGCTCCGGGACTTGAGCATCCACTCATATGGTGTTCCGGATTAGCCTAACTATCACGGTTCACACTCTTGTGAGGTATTGTCCACTCTGGTTCTCCTGACCTCACGATTTTATCTTACAAAAGACATCTCACAAAGAAGAGGTAGTGTGAATCCTTTTATACCCTCCTATTATATTCGATATGAGATTCATGACTCTTTCTTGTGTTCGTGACATAAGCACATATGATCCCATGACAGGTATTACATTCCTACTGTTTGAAAGCAAATCAGGTATGTGGGGAAGCTACTGTGAGAAAGCTTTGGATTCTATAATCTATAAGTGGCCAACACAATTATATATGTATATATTCAAAATGATTTTATGGATTTGTTTTAAGCTAGAGGCATAATTTGACAGGTTGAGATTTAGGTTTCTTTCTTTTTTTTTAAACAAAAGAGGTTGAGATCACTTATGAAAAAAATATATATATTATAAGCATTGAGATTAGAACTTAATCTTGCAAGAAATTTATTTCTTAAAAAAGTTAAGTGAATCATTCGAGTTAAATTTTAAATTATTTTTTGATTAATTTTTGAGAAAATTTGTTTTGACTCTTTAATTTTAAGTTATTGAATCAAGGGGTATTGAACCTGTTAGCTTTTTAAGTGTTCACATAACCTTTAATTAGTTCTTCAAATTCCAATTCTAATATGTTTTCAAAGGTTTTTCCTATGAGATTTCTGTATATTTTTGGGGCGTTCAAGAACAAAGCAAACCAAAGGAAATGAATCAACTTTATTATAACTTTGCATGCATTTCGTATGGATGAGAGCCATTTTTTTTATATGAAAAGAATATAGCAATGAAAAATGCAGTATTAATTAGAGGTATTCATGGGTCAGATTTAGGTCGGACTCATATTTGGTATTAATAGTTTATATGCTTGCTCAAATTTAGTTCGATTCAAAATTTTGGATTTTAAAATTTTTTTCAAATCTAACCTAAATTTTTTTTAAAAAAATCCAAACTCACCTATTAAACTTAATTTATGTAATAAAAAATTAAAAAATGTGATTAAATTAAGTTTAATGAAATTATATTTAATTCACATATATATAAATTAAAAATAAAAATTATATATGTAAAAATTAAAAATAAATTTTATATAAAAATAAAAATTAAGTTTAATAAAATATATATAGTTTTTATTTTTAATTTTTATATATATATGAATTAATTTTTATATAATTCAAATATATATAAAAATAAAAAATTTATATATGTGAATTTAAGTCGAATCGAGCTCGCTCGGGTTTTAAATTTTTTATTCAAGATTCAACTCAAAATTTAAATGAATTTAAAAATTATGTTTAAATCTATATAATGAATTTTAATTTTTTATTCAAACTCTTTCAAAACTTGAATGAGCCTTTGGGCTTAAATAAATTTAGACGAATAAACCGATCTTTGAATACTAGATTAAATGGGGAGAAAATATTAGATGATGAAATTGATTAATGCATCTCTACCTCTGTGGTTAACATTAGAAGTGGAACATTATATATATAAAGGATGAATAAGCAGTCTCGTGAACTTTCTTGGCACTTGTCTTCTTGATTTTTATTATAAGTGATAAATTTAGGTTCTACTTTCTTTTGGATGTGGATAAGAGTTCAATTTCCTTAAATCGAGGCCTATAGAATTATTGTGGCTATCTTGTGCTCTCTGATATCATCTTCAAGTGTTCAAATGAAGATATTTAAAAAAAAAAAAAAAAAAGAAAAAGAAGGAAAGAAAGAATTGCTTTCTACCCAAACTGAAGTTATAAAACCTCGGAGTATGAAAGTAGAAATTTTTATTAACATATTAATAAAAATTGATATATTTTATTACGAGTCTAAATATAAAATTAAATCAATATCTCACTGAACAAAAATAATATTATATGATCGTATATCTTATAGCGTGATATTATTATAATTATTCATAATTTAACATAAATTAACCTAAGTCTGAATTAATTAACTATAGTAGTATAGATAAATGCAACGTAAAGAAGCTAAAGTATTGATCAACAAGTTTTTAACATTATCCAATGCAAGTTCCAGATGAGTATTTTTGAAAAAAAAGTAAAAGCTCCAGAAGGGTATGGATGCATTAACATTCAGACCTATACATCCATCCATCATTATTTTAGGAGAAGTTCCAGAAAAAAGGAACTGGACAATCAACCTAAAAGCAGGCCCATGCCCCGACCGATGTCAGTTTTCGACCCTTGAAAAACTGCCATCCTCTTTAGGCCCATGTTAATGGTTTTGTCTGCTAGTGCCTGGTAGATCAAATTGAAAACTGGTACTCAAATGCCATTAGGCTTTAACGGCCTAATTCCCAAGAACAAATCCAATTTGGCATAGTTGCTATTGTCTGTCATGGCTTAAGATTGCTCGAACAGGCAATCAATTCTTCAAGGGTTAGCCCATTTTTTTCATCAGGCTGATAAAATTTCGACATTTATAACAAAGGGTCCCGATTCAGATCTCATCTATGTCACTTGATCGTCCTTGACTTCTTTTAAACACTGTAATCAATTGCCCTACCGGGCACCCCCAACCATTTTTATCCTCACACTTAATGCAAGAGAGCGACCAGACATTGGTGCATAGATAAGATGTCGACTGTCCCTTTACTGTTCTAGATATCTGTCCTGCATACTTTGCTTCGATTATATGATATATGATGGTCTAGAGTTTTCAGATCTTGTCTCCTTGGCAACCAAGGCATCAAATTAAAGTCATATGTTCCTACAGTTTACAAACTAAAACATTAATTATTTGACATTTACGTACTTAATGGCGATTGTCTCAATGAAGATGTTACAAAAGTCAAGAAAACATCTGTTTGCGTTTATAGCTTTTCTGTTCCATCCAACTAAAACATCTCTGATCAGTAAGGCTACACTTTTTATATCAAATTGCGGAAGGTAGGGCATGTTAGAAATTTTAAAATAAAGTACGGAAAATAATTTTATATTGGAGTTAAAGTTCATTGTAGTTGGATTTAAGTGGGTAATGGATCATGAACTTAGATTTTTAAGATTGGTAGATCTTACATTAATTAAATAATTAATACTAATATTTAATTAATGGTATTTGACACTTGCAATGTAATAAATAAAATAATATTTTATTTTATTTTTTAGTTAATTAAGTGTATGATTAGTTATGTTTGTCTAAAACAAAACAAACAGATAAATTTATTCAAAATAGATAAATATATAAGAATAGACAGTCTGTACAAAACAAATAGATAATTCTATTTAAAATAGATAGTTTTTAACTATTAAAATCAGATTTTTTGTCTATTCAAAATAAATTTTTTTATCTATTTAAAATATACCATTATGTCTATTGAATAAATATATATTTAATTGGTTATATAAGTTTCTCGGGTTTTTTAAGAATATACAAAAATAATTTTCAGAACTCTCCCTCCTTATTCAATAAATTTTAGATTTATTTTTATAAAATTTTGTTGCAGAAAACTTTATAGAAGTTCGGTAATCTTGTAATATGTCGATAAATGCTAAGTGGATTGATTTCATCGTGTAAAAAATAATCAGTCACTGAATTTTATTGTATCATTGAGATTTATCGTCTGTAACTCTTTTACACACTTGCTAAGTAAATAATATATGAGGTGAATAAAAGTTTAAAAAAGTGACACCATTATATATCTTATAAACCTTTTTTCAAAATTTCAGATTTACCAAAAACAAAAATTTTAGATTTTCAATTTTATGCACTAACAAAGCATTAACCCAAGCGTTTAAACTTTGATCGATTTGATTGATTTTTTTGTAACATATTAAGTGAGCAAAGCAATTATCAACAGTTCCCGGATTCTTAATTTTAATTGATCTGAAATCGAACCTGTAACCTCTAGTACAAGAAAAAAGCAATTATGAAGATGACATATCCTTCACCTAAGTATTATTCTAATGAAACTTTCGTTTCATGCATCATTCAACTAACATGTAGTACGCATTTGATCAATAATTGTAACTTATGCCTATGTGTATGTGTAGCTAGCTGCTATTAAAGTAGCATAAACATCAAAGAATTAAAATTAATGGACAAATCCCTTAAATAGGAAAATGGAAGCTCATTTAAAGGACGACTTCCCTTTATTATTTGCTTTATCAATATGATTTTGATATAAAATTGAAAAAATCAAATTATTAGCCACTTGTTTCACATGGCCTTTCCCTTTCTATCATCACATCTAGGATCGACAAGTTGTATCAAAGTTTCCGTATCATTTTAACAAAATTCAACCTTTTCTCCAACAACCATCTTCTTCCCTTGACCATTACTAGAGTTTTCCCAAACCCAAAATCTCTCCAATGCTCTTTTCCTAGCCTGAAAATTCATATATACTTGCATGAACTTAGATTCCTAGCTCTTATTTTTCTTTGAAAAGCTTTTGTTTCTGGCAGGCTGCAAGGAGGGTGAAGAAGGTTGTAAATAAGGCTGACTGGTTTTCATGGTGAGGATACATGGGATGAAGCATTGAAGATGCTTTTGTTGACAGAAGATAGAGAGCACAACTGAACATACCCAGAAAAAGGCTGTGTATGAGCAGCCTTGTGCTCTCTTTTCTTCTGTCAACCAAATTTTCTGTCAGGAATTCAGTTCATTCATTCGCTTTCATGATCACTATATATATATCAGTTGAGCCAAAGGTAAGATTTATGATTATACCTCATAAAACTCTTTTCCTATGATAATATTGCACCATTGCTATCTCTCTTTTCTTTTACCATGTTTGATCTGCTTATACTATATCTTAACAACCTATGTAGGTGAAAAGAAAAGGAAAAAAATCAACCATGGAACCATTGAATGGAGAGGGAGAAAACAAAATTCCATAGAAAATTAAAAAAAAAAAATCATTTACTTTCTATTCTATGAAAGAAGACATATATAAACCATTAATGCTTCAAATTTAATAGCTGTTGTTATTTAACCATCTCCATTGTTGTCTTGATTAGAGTTATAGTTCTCAAGTCCCCAAACCTTTGGCCTAGTGGCTAAAGGCGTTTGAGGGACATCAACGACTTGGTTTCAAGCTAAGTCTCCCCCTCCCCTTTACTTGTACTAAGATTTTGTCTTCCTAATGTAACACAAAATAAAAGTTCTCAAATTCTGTTCTTTCTTAACTTTCTAACTAAGCTGTCATATGCTCTAGCTGATTTTCCATGATATTTAATGATAATTCATAAATGTTAACAGCATTTTTCCTGCATAAGTCTTCTTGTTAAAAAAAATGAACAAATGGAAGTCAATGCATTAATTTGACTGTTAGGAACTCATGAATCTTCTATCAGCTGATTATTAGTTAATTGTGTTGTGACTAATTATTGCCATAGAGTAGACTTGATAATTAGTGTATTTATATCTATTTAGTTACTATAGGATACATATAAAATATAAAAATTATCATGTTATAATTTATGTTGATATTTCAAATATAAAATATATTTTTTAATTTTTACCAAACTCATATAATTTTGACTAAAATTTTAAATCATGTCATTTTAGTATTTTTTTTTCATATCATTTTTTTGTATTATATCATCATGTCTTGTTTAAAGTTATCAGGTATACGAGATCCTGACCATCTATGGTATCTGATGAATGGCAGGTGAATAGCTTGCAACATCAAGCTCTGTTAAAGCACCATCTTTTTTCCCTGTTTGTCCTCCTCCTTTGATCTCTATTCTTTATTTAAACTACGGCTCATGCATGATCAGTTTAAAAAATCATTGCTTCTATTGTTGAAACCTTAAACTGTTGATGTGCAAGAGGTATGACTTATTTATTGTGACGCTTTAATCTCATATTGAAAAAATATGTAAATAGATTATAATATATATGTAAAGGTTTAAACTCAAATATACGAAGTATTTTTTGTGAAAAAAAATCGTGAGATTTTTAAATTAAAATGGATAATATATATCTCCATAAATAATATCAGAATAATCACTAATTAACAAGAACTAAGTGTTACATTAAGAGTCACTGAATATCTACAAGATAGGGCTTTAAAGGTAAGAAGATTGTGACGCTTTCAATCTTATATTGAAAGAATATATGAATATAATATAATATATATGTAAAAATTTAACCCATATAAAAAAATATATGGATATAATATGATATATGTAGAGATCTAAACTTAAATTAGTAAAGCCTCTTTTATGAGACAAAATCATGAGATCTTCGGATTAAAATGAATAATAATTCACAGCTAGATATACAATCCATTCTCATGTTCCTGATCTGAGACAGATTTCAAGTCCAAACTCTTATACTATTGATTTTTTTCTTTTTTGTCTCATTATTGAATTTCTTTGTTATCTAATTCTTGACTTAAATTCCCACCAGCTACACAAATCTTATCTGCCGCAGACCTGGAATTTGTTCTTCATGGTTTGCTAGTTTCATTTCGGCTGTAATGGTCCTGCGAAAGGCAAATTCTCATATGGAACTCGATCTTGCGTAATGAAAATGGCTATCAGTGAAACAAGTTTTCATCTACCAACCTATCAGCTATTGGATAACAAATGGTCCATTCCTTTTGTCATCAACCAATTTTGGGCCAACAAATGACACTGACTGGATTGGCTTGTTGCTGCCATTTCGATTTGGGGACCATTTCCCTTTTCTCCATGGCCAATGCACATAAGCTTTATTAATAGAGGTTTAAGTTAAGCTGACAAGTTTATGCACAGCTATCAGTGAAACAAATTTCACAATGAAATGCGTGCCTGCTGGCAGGCTAGTTCTAAACCAAGCTACCTGCAGCTATTGGATAAACAAATTTTCCAAATGGTCCTTTTCTCAGCATGGTCATGACATCAGCCCTTTGGGCCAACAAATGACACTGACTGGATTTAGCAATTTGATTTCGGGACCATTTCCCCTTTTCTCCATCCATGTAGAGCCGTTTTTCTCTTTCAGTAAAAAAAACGAATAGCTTTCCTTTGGCAAATGGTGGAAAAGAACATGGAATTGCATATAATTAGCCTTATCAATGGAGGTTTAAGTTCAGCTGACAACTTGAAACCGTCCAACCAACCAAGCGAGTGAGCCAAAACCAATGAATTGAACGGTGAAGCTCCAATCCAGTGAACATTTTACAACCATATTAGATCCATTTTAATGCATCAGAAATCAAATACTAAGGTCTAAATCATGATTTTGAATTGAAATTAACAAGCTAACCTATAGAACATCATTGTTTCATAAATAATGCTATGTTGATGGCTGCCTATCAGTATGCAGATTCCTTCTGAAAGTTCAACAGCTGCTCCACTGGTCAAGGCATGATCACAACTTTTACAAGTTGTCACCAAAAACACCATTTTACAAGTGGATAAGAATCAAGGAAACTTTAATGCTTCATTGCTAAAAATGCAGAGTGCATGAAAAAGGTTTGATCATGTAGCTTTCTATACCGTTGAATGAATAGTGATTAGAATTGGAATAAGCTCGCCAACAACCGCATGATTTACTGATAAAATATTATACTCTTAGTTTTATAGCCAGAGTTCAAATACTGAACTTTCACTTGTAAATGGCTAGGATTCAAATCCTGATAGCATCAAGTATATTAAAAGAAAGGTCCATGTAATTTGATCTCTTAACACTCAAATTCAGCATTTTTTTCTTTAATTTTTATTTGTACATACAAAAGTTCATCAGGCTTTGAACTACACAATATAAACCTCTTTCATCTAAAACAAACCTTCCCTCAATTTTCTATTGGAAAATCCCGACTGTCAAACATTGAGGTGTCCCTATGAAGACAAAAACAGCATTCCTTAACGCTTCATCATTGCTTCAACGGCTGCTTCATTTTTTTTTTTTTGCCTTCCACAGGGTTATGTAAATTTTCATTCCTTACTCCTTAGCATAACGTCCTTGTTGCACTTCTCAATCTCTCTTCACAAATCGACCCTGTCAAAGAAAAATTGGTAGAGATCTGTCAGTCTCAACATGGTAAAATGAAATAATGGAGACTTATGATACTCAGATTCCAAGGTGAATGTCATTATTTTTAAATTTTTTTCGAACCTCTATACCCTATGTTTCTTGGACACGGGTGAGTATCATATATGAGTACATTCAATTTTTCCGAGTTTTTCTCTATATTTCGAGGGTCGGACTTTCATACCGATGCCTGTCAAATACTTATCGGACACAAGAACTTCAAGAAAATTGAAATGACAAATCATAACAACATAGTTTATATTAGAGGTGATAACAGTTTAAATCGAATCGAATTCGAATCAATTTTTTTGAATAATATGTAATATTATCAATTTTTAAAATTCGATCCAAATTCGAATCGACCTTCTTTTTAAAATTGATCAAATCCGAACCGAATTCAACCGATTCGGTTCGATTCTTCGATTTTTAAATTTTAAGAAAAATGAAGAGTAAGATCAACAATTGGAGGCACTTTGAACTTGAACTAAGAGAAATTGTTGGTGGACACCACTGACCATATACTTGAAACTAAAGGAAGCAAGAAATCAAAAAACTCAACCATATATGATCCAAGGTCCAAGCATTATATAAAAGGGCTGAAAAGGCAAGAGGGAAAAACTGAGTTTACTACCTTCAACCTGGGGCGCTTCTCAGCATTGAGCTTTCTAACTTCATAACGAATACGCTTAGAGAAGAGTCTATTCTGCCTCTTCTCCTTGTATCTTAACAGACTTGCTTCTCTGTGCCCCCTTCCCCATTCCTCTTTCCCATGAAATTTTTCTTTAATCTTGAACCTACCATTATCATTGTTGCTAACCATTTCTGGGACTCTCCACAAATTTGAAACACTACCCCAAGCATCCACCAGCACCTGCCACGACACAAAAGATACTTGAAATTGTTAAATTTTTATTTGATCAGTTCTACAAATGACAACATTTTTTGTACCTTTGATTATAATAACAATAAAATGTAATTAGCCATATTTCCAAAGGCTTGGTCTAAGGGAAAGATCATGATAAATTGTTTAATAAAGTACTTAATAACTTACTATATGATTTAAAATATGATAAACTGAAAACAATATAATGATAATATAATAATAATAATAATAATCTCTTAAGCTAGTCTATTTTTCAACTATAAAAATGAAATGTTGTTAAGCTGCTAACGAAATTAATTGAGTTAATAAAAATAAATTATTTTATTTATAAAATTTAAGTTCGAATCACTTTGTACCTTTTAGTGAGCAATTAAAATAATTAAAATTTGTAAATCCAATTTAAATCAATAATCCTTTTGTAAATTTTTTATAAAAAATTCTTATCTTAATCTCTCGTCATGATTTAACCGTGTTTTACGCTGACTGTTAATCTATTGCAACCCTCCTCGCTGTACCCAAGCTTGGACCAGCAGTGTGATAGCACACAGATGGAGTTAGGAGATGTGAGTTTGTAGATTTAGGGTCCATTTGAATCATCAGTTATTGCCAGTGCGGCACAATTAAAGCGCTCAATCACATCCAAAGCTTGTTTGGAAAAGAGGGTCCGGTGAGATTAAGCTTCGACCATCGCACTGCAGCTTCAGTGAGCTACTGGGGCTTAAGGGGTCTGGTGAGATTTCCTCCCCAAATTGCAGCTCTTTTTTTCCATTTCAGCCCCCCGTTTTAAATTTTTTTTACTCTTTTACCCTCCTCATTATTGTGCTATAACAAAAATATCCTGATCACTAACCTTTGTTGTTTTTTCATTTTTATTTTTATTTAAAAATATTTAAATAATTTTATATAAACAAATATAATTATATAATTACATAATAATTTTATTATTTTATTACAATAAATAATTTTCATTTATTATATAATAAATTAATAAATAAATAAAATTCTAATTAATTTTATAAATATTAAATAATTTAAAATTTTTGTTAGTGTAATTTTTATTCTAATATTTTTAATGATCATTTTTTCTTCTCATTACATTTTATTTTATCGTCATCATTATTTTTGTATTCAAACATATATCTTATTATTAATTTTAATTTTATCATTACGATATTTAATTTTATCGTTATAGTAAATAATTTTACATCTATTGTTATTGTTATTTTTAATTTTAACGAAATTAATCTTATTACCTATTCAAATGAATCTTTAAAAGAGAGCAAAACTTCTAAGAACATATCACGAAAAATATAGACATAAATAATAAAAAATGATATAAAAATTAAGAAAATAGATAAAAAGATTATTGCAAATAAAAATGAATGATGCAAAAAAATTAGAATCTAAAACTTAACATAATATTTATTTTATTTTTCATACAATCGATTTCTAAATTTCGAGATAAGATAATTTTTTTTGTATTTAAACTTTTTATAAAAATAAATAAATAAATAAAATGTTGCTAAGATGAGCTAAAACACCAACTGGCTTAAAAGGACTGCTGGGCCCCTTAGAAAAGCAAAAAGTACAAAAACCCTAGTCCCACTAATTCCACAAATATATTATTACCCAATTCATCCCAAACCCTAAATTCCCAAGCCGATAAGCCAATTATTCACCACACCGAATCTCATCAGTCCATTAAAAAAAAAATCAAGAAAGGGCTAAGATCAAAATAAAGCGTTTAAAAAAATCCCCTATACTTATTTCATGCACATATTTATGCATAAAATAACTTCTTCTATGACTAAAGTTATAAAATTGGGAAAAAAAAAAGAGAATAATAATACCATAAATGAAATAGTATAAAAGGCAGATAAAAAGAATGATGGAAAGAACTGAAATGTATGATTAAGGGCTAAGATCTTACAGGGGCAGCATCATGCAAATCAGGGACAGTTTGTGGGGACTCTCCTTCAATGTAAAGTGGGCCCTTATCAGACCACGCATTCATGATCTCCTCATAATCAAGCTTCAAATCCAACAACTTTTTCATCTTCTTCTTCTTACAACACCATGCACTACCATCATAACCACCGTCTCCACCACCGCCGCCGCCGCCGCCACAACTACTCACCTCCTCTACAACCTCAGAATAAACCACCCACTTCTCTTCACCCTCATCTATCTCCTTCTTCGTTCCTTTCATGGCCGATCGTACAACCGACGACCTTGAATGATCTTCACAACTATGCCCATACGTTAAAGAAGGCGACAAAGAACTCTCCACAGACGTTGTCGTCTTCCTCGTCGTCGTCGCCGGTTCGTTCTTATAACAATCACTACTTTCATTGTTTAAAAGCCCATGAAGAGTAACGGCATGAACGTTATCTTCCTCTGTCGTGTTGAAAAGTAAAGAAACATTATCGCACTGGGTATCTTTGTCTTCAACTAAGTTTTCAGGGTGAAGTGGAAACAAGTTAAGCTGTTTCTCTTTGCCTTTGTTGTCGTTAATCAGGGACTTTTGAGGTAAGCTTTCTTCAAGGTAAAGAAGGCTAAGGAACTTTGGTTTCCTTGTTTTTGTTCTGGTTTTACGAGAAGCTTTCAGAGAAAGACTACCAGACTTCGATTTTCTTCTTCTTCTTCCTCTTGTCTTGTTCCTGTTAATCATTTTTCTGTTTGGTCTGAGGGAAAAGTGGAAGGAAAAGTGAGGTTGGGGAAGGGAAAGACTAGACTGTATGGGGGGAAAGGCTTAGGTTTCAGAAGCGTACAGGGAAGGGTGATGGTGATTATAGGAAGGTGGTGCTTTATTGACACGTGGAATAAGGTGATTGGTAGACGAGTAGATTGTGTTGTTATCTGGATTTCGTTTTACTGTATATGGGAATGGGACATGGCATGTGGCAATCGGCAATTTGCCAATTAGAGCTTGCTTTGCGAGATATAAATGTGGAAAGAAAATGGAAGTGTTTGATTTGTTTGGTTGGTGAGAAAGTTTAGATGTGAGTTTTTAGTAACAGCAAGGTTATCCCTTTGCACGTGAATAGAGCCAATCCTTAGATTTAGGCTTTTTAGCCTCTTTTCTTAATTGTTAGAATTAATTTAGGGTATAAATTTGTGATTCAGTTCCTAAAAAAGAACATTTTAAGTAGTTGGCTAAAAATAAAATTAAAATCAATAAAACAAATCACTTGAATTCAAAGTTTTTTGTCCAAATCCGAACCAATTCAATTTAATTTGATAAAAGAATAAGACAATAACTCGAAGCTAAATTTAATTAAATTTTGAAATAATTTTAATTCGAATAAATTAAAATTTTAACTTATAATAAAATAAAAAAATTATGTTTATCCTCCACTTAACATAAAAAGTTGGATTTGAATTTTTTTTTTATCTTAATACATAGGCCTTTTATTAGGAATTTGAATGACCCTTAAATATCTTGATTGATTTTCAAATTTGCTTAAAGGATAATTTTATTCACATCCTATCTTTTATTTTTTACATTTTTTAAAATTATTTTTAAATAAAATTACTTAGTAACAAGCAAATTGTCTATAATACTAACAATAATCATTAACAAAAAAAAATAATGATAAGTTATGATTAAATAGACACTAAATAAATTTGAAAATTTACTATTTTAATGCAACTATAATCTGATTTTGATGGATCATATATTTCACAAGTTTTCCTTAATAATTTGAAAATATACTATTAAAAAAATAAGATTAATTATTTCAATGAAAATTAATTGAATTAGTAAAGATTAATCTAAGATTTAGATTTAATTTCACTATTAACAATTTTCTTGGACGAATAATTGGTAAATTTTTATTGAGATTTATAATATATTTTAATTTTGAAATGAAAAAGCTTGGCAAAAGCCAACAAGGACAGGTCCAAGTGTTAAAACAGCAAAAAATGGTGAAACAGTGAGTGAAGCAAGTAGCCAATCAGGAAAAACTGGCACCAGAAAGTGCAGAGTTGGGTCCCTATTTTGAGGCCTCTTTTTCACTGTTTTTATACACTTTTTGGCAGCCACCTTGCCATGCCGGTTGCACGGTTGTACAAAGCTCCAAATTTGGTTCTTAAAAATCTTTTCAAGAATCTGTTTTTTTTTTTTCTTTTAATTTTGTCAACATCACTTTTGCGTTGCTTTTTTATTTGTAAGCCAGTCTGTCAACCTTCTTAATAATTTTTTTTTTTTTAGCGCAGTGGCTTCTGCTTGCGAGTCAGTCTCGTCGCTGTCGTTGATTATTATGTCATGCTCAGCTCAGGACAGCTAAATATAAAAAAAGGGATAATACTTCATTTAATCCTTAAATTATTATAATTTTTTTAATGTGATATTTAATGTACATATCTCCTTTAACTCAAAAACTTTTTCGAAATTAAAATCAGATTTCGTTCGTGAATTGAGTTCGATTGAGACACTTTGAGTCCAATAAAAATATTTTAGTTAATTTGATTTATTTATTTTTTTATTTTATTTTTAAATAATAATAACAAACAAAAAAATCGTGTTTGACAAACTATCAAATCTACATATTAATGAATTTTGAAAATCAAATTTCAAAAATTAAAAAAATTAATATATTAATTTTTTTTAAATTAAAGAGATTTAATTCCTATAAAATAAAACAAAGATCAATGTCAATTGCAAAGGGAAAGACAGATTATATAGAAGCTAGGGGGGAGATTTTCGATTGGAGGCTTTGAATTCTTTTAAGTTTTCTGGGTAGATTTTAGAGTTTTATTTTTGAAATTTTTGGAATTTGGGAAAATTTGAGAAGCGAGCTCTATGGGTTTTGTGATTTCAGTTCTAGAATCTTGATTTTAAGGGAACAATTTTGGTTTTAAAGTTTGATTGTGCATTGAAATTTCTGGTGCTGTTTGACTTTTTTTAATCTATAAATATTTGTGAAAATTTTAGATTTTTTGGGTTTGGGAAGGTTCTGGAAAAATTTTGTATTTTTATGGCTATTTTTTGGGTTTAGTTTGGTTTTTTCGGTTAAGCTTTGAAAATTCTGACAACATTCATGGCGGCAGGAGGGGAACGAGCTGACCGTGTTTTAGATTTGCAAGATTTTTTGGTTTCATTTGAAGATTCTGGCGAGCGTTTGAAAGTCACGGCGTCAAAATCTAAAAAAGCTGGCTAGTATTCATCTGTTGTCTAAAGAAAAGATAGAAAGAAACTGCCTTAGAGAGAGAAACGAGTGAGGTAACCTGAAGAAAAATGCAAATTTTTGCCTGTTATAGCAATCTAATACGACGTCATTTTGAAAAAAATTTTGTGAATTAAAATTTATTATTTAAAGATATTTAAATTAATTTTAAGAGTTTTTTTTAAATAAGATAGATTCTATCAAGTGATTAATCATATTTTAATAAAAAAATTAATGATAATTTTTTTAATCTACATTTAATGATATATTTACGGATCTGTATGATATAACACTTAAAATAAATTTTTTTAATAAAGCACATAAATTTTAATTTCTTTTATTCAATTATTCTAATCCATTAATACAATTAAAATAATATTAATGTAATACTTAGATACTAATATAAATGACACATGATTATCATATGATAATAATATAATTGTCATATATCATTTAAAAAAAAATTAAAAAAAATTATATTTCACCAATTTTGTTTATTTTCTAAAAATGACACATGACATTCATATCTAGATCACATGAGAGTTCATGTGTTATCCATGTCAATATTTAAATGTTATATCAATATTATTTTAACGGTGTTAAAAGTTAAAGTAATTTAATACATAAAAATATAATTTAAAGATTTAATTAAAATTTTTTTTGTTTAAATATCACATTAAAAAAGTATAATAATTCATTGGCTAAATAAGATATTATGCATGTAAAAACGTTGCTACCAAAGTGAAAACAATGAGGAGGCATTCCAAGAATTGAGCTCCGAAGAATCATACTGTTTACGTCATAATTTTTTCCGCTCTTTCGGATGGTTGATATGTTGTATTTGGTGGGAATTAAGGGTTCAGAATCTCATCGTTACTCAAAATTCATTGTGAGTTGGTATGACATATTGGTTGAACTTCCTAAATTTTATAATTGGCTTTATTTTTGTGTAACATTCGTGTGGCTTCAATTCAATAATATTTTTATTTAATCTATTTAATTTCAATTTTGTTTACAATTCCGACAAATTTGTTTTTATTTGATTCTGTTGATGGTATTATTGGTGTCTTAACTAGAGAGGGTTGATGAGAGGTTGTTGGAGGCTGGATGACTTGAACCTACAGCACGTTCAAGGGGCATTAGAGTTATATTTTGGAACGCGCTTCAACGTTCAAATTAATAGAGTAAATGTGATAAAGTGAGGAAGAAAGTGAGATATGTGAGGGGAGCTGCAATGGAGGGAAACTGCTTGTCTATGAGGTATGTTCATGTCCTTATGTATTTGAATCTCTTTTTTACTTTTATGTGAGATAAAGGGATAGTAATTTGATTGAGACAATTAATAATGAATGGGATACATATATATATATATATATATATATATATATATGAGACTTAGGTAAGATCTAAGTAGATGACCGCAATCCACAGTTAATGGGATATATATGTATTAGGCAAGCTATTTCCTTGACGAGAGGTAAGTCAATTTCTTTAATAAAGATAATGTGACAACTCAGAGCATGCACCATTAAGGTGACCCAAAAGATTGATCATGTTGATCAAAAGTTGATTGAGTAATTGGGAGTAACAGATTTTAAATTGTTTTTGTGTCATTTTTCAACACCATTTTAATGTTTTAAATATTTTTTATAATTTTTAAAAAAATTCATAAACTCCATGTTTTTTAAGAGTTGTAATTGCCTGATATTTTTCACTAAGGTGCACTTTGATCCAATTTCGTGCGGCTCCGTCGTTTCAAAAAATAATGTCATCAAGATCATACTTTAAACTTTCCTAATTTGTATTCAAAATTATTTGACACACTTCATGTAATAAAATTAATTCAACACATACCAAACCCAATGCCCTTTTGTTTTTGTTTTTTTTTTTTTTTGAAATTTAAAGTAACTTTAACTCGTGTAAATGTACATGGGTCAGCTTGTGAAATAAGTGAAAATTGAGAAACATGGTAAAAGACATTGTGAGTAGGAGAAAAGTGTTTTTGTTCCTTTCCATTAGTCTAATACTCATCAATGCACTCAAATGCTATTTTGAGGTACGAGTACGATGGTAATTTAAAATTTATTTGAATAAACCATAAGAGTAATTTTTATAAAATTAAAAACAACGTGAAAATAAAATTAAAATTAATAATAAAAAATATATTTAAATGTAAATACAATTATAAGATGAAATGAATTATAATGAAAAACATCATTAAAGGCATCATATTAAATTTTGTATATAATAAAAAATTTAAATTATCATTCATAGAATTAATAAATAATTAAAAATTATTTAAATTATTTAAATATAAATACAAAATAAAAATAAAACAATACTTATAAAATTATAAATATTATTTAACACAATAATAATAAATAAATGAAATATAAAATAAAAATAAAAACAAAACAAATTTAAAAAAAAAAAAATATTATGGATAAAAGGTCAGTCCAGTGAGCAACTGGACCTTTCTGTTCTAATCTAAAATTGTTGCTGATTGTCATCACCACCCAATCTCACCCAAAAGATATTTAACCGCACCGATTAATTCTTGCAAATCTGT